CTGGGAAGTGAAGAGAGAAAGAGAAAACAAGTATGTTAAAAATGGCTAGTCTTTCTACATTCAGCATTCAATTAGGTTCCAACAAAGACAGAGGCACTCTCCATTTGTATTCTAAACACTATTCTAAAGCGTTTGCACTGAACCTCATTAAAATCCTCAGTGTTTCTTTAGAAAAAAAAAAATCACATATTACACAGGAGTATTTCTAACTGAAGGGAAAAGTTAGCACAGTTCCAGTTTTATGTCCACTAAAAAAAAACAAACAAAAAGTTTGCTGTATTCTTTGGAGAACCTGTTTCCATTCCTCACTGAGTGAGTTCCCTCCGCTTTAGGTAAGGGATGCTAAGCAAGCTTGTCGGGTCAAGTTATCTGAGAAATTATCCCACGCGGTACTCCCTCCGTGTATTTCCACCACTGGACAGGCAAGATCTAGCAGGTGAAAGGGACAGCAAATCAACTTTCCTATTACTTCTCTTGCGTATAACCAGAAACAAGTATGGCGAGCTGTATGTGTCAACATACACAACTTTTAGAAAGCAAGGAGCAGTAAATAGATGAGAAAATTTTTAATGGAGAAAGTGAAATAAATTGAATATATTACACTAAAATAGAAATAGGTAAATGAAAGATTCTGAAAACAAGCCTCTGAACATAAAAACTGTACTGAGAAACCCACCTTAAATATGAAGGATGTAAAAGTAATAATGTGTTGAACACTTTTTTGCAACCTTACAAGTCACAGTAGATACAAAATTTAAGCAAAAGGGTCTCTGACCTTCTTAACCTTAGTTGAGTTTAGATCCACCCACAGAACTCCCTTCCTGCCTAGTGTGAATGTAATTAAGGGGAAGCTGCAGTGGTAATTTCTCTCCTCATTAACTTCCTGATTGGTTTCAGCCTCAGGATTCTGCTGGGCAGTAGTTTGTCACCAATTCCAAATGGCCAATCGTTAATACTAATGTTTGTGTAACTAACTGCCAGCATCTGCCACGGCTTCTTGTACAACAATAATGGTGAAAGGGTACATTAGTGCTCCTGTGTTAATTCAGCTTGTGTTCATCAACAGGGAAATCTATGATGTAATTAGCAAAATGCATTGGGAGCTGAGTACTGAAGTCATTTGTAGAGAACTAAATCATAGTGGAAGCTGTACTAGGTCCTGATGTGTTTGCCATCAATACTTATTATGTCTGGAATTTAATAAGGTATATTACCATGCTGAAAAGAGACCTTTTTAAAGAGAACACTATTTACGCTTGTTACGGGTTTGGGAAAGGTTTGCTGCAGCTACTGGAACCACATAGAAAAAAGAAAAGAGCTGTGATTTAAGAAATGGACCTTTAACCACACCACTGGACCAAATTATTTCTAAAAGCTCCTTTCCTCCAGTGTGACATATGGACAGGCAGACAGACAGATGGATAGGGTTGTATAGCTATTTCAATATCCAATGAGGAAAGGGATGATCTGAAAACTTAATAAGTGAATAAATTTGAAAAGCAATTTAGACAATTTCCTAACAAGTAATTCCTTTTTGTATTGGTAGTATTTGTTTAGTATTTAGTAGCTTCAAGTTACATAAGGATGAGTTTATAAGCTTCAAAGGAAAGAGCTGTTAAATGGTTTTCTATACATGCCAAAACAATGTGCGTGAGTAGATATAAATACATTATAGCAACCCAAACAACTGGGAACTTAAATCCTTTATCTTATTGCAGTGCCCAATAGCTTCTTAGTAAATTTGGGCTGTTACATGCATTTAAATTCCCTGTATATCCATGGTGATTTATTAATTGTTTGTACATGTACCTGGTTAAGTGTATAGAGAAATGTTTTCCAAAAGTGGTAGACTTAGCTCTGAGATTTCTGTTATTACACACATGTGGAGACCCCACTGAGAGCCTGCTGGAGGTCTATTCAGTTAAACTGCCCACCTCCACCCCAAACCTGTGACGTAAGTTTTCTCTGAATATAGGCCAAGTGGAAGGAAATGAACATTTACTGACTGTTCTTCTGTGTGCTACATACTTTAATGAGGGATGGCACCCTCAAACCGTTCACTGAACTACTTTCTCCATGTTATATAGAGGACCTTGACTCTCTGGTATGCTCTCATCCCTGCTTCCTGAACCCCCGGGCACCACACTTAGGGGCTGATCACAGACCCTTCCCAATTTCTGCATGAGTTTAACGGGGCATAATAACTGACCCCGTCAGACTAATGAAGAACCGATGTAGGAATAAGTTCAGTGTTTTCTCAGTGTGTTCTGAGCCCCTGGCCTGCCTTGGGCTTTAGTTAGAAGTGATGGTGGAGATGCCCCCACCTGCCTCTGCCTTTAGCCAATTTGGGACTGAAAAGGGGAGGAGTGGGAATTTCACAAGAGAAAAGAATTCAGGAGTAACCCTTTTTTGCTCTTGCCTTGTGAGCTTTTTCTTGGAAGGTACCTGTGTGACTTGGGGAGACAAACACATGGAGAATGTGTCACCTGCACAGACTACAGAGGTTCCAAGCACACTTGATGCATGACTGCACTCCAGAGAAATGTAAAGAAATGAACTCAATCTATTTTGAAAAGTACCTGTACTGAACGTTTAAAGTGCTTCTCCACCCAAAACTAAATCCATGTTATTTTTTCTGTTTGTCCAAGGCTTAGTATTGTCTTTGAAAAACAGAATGTTGAAGTCAGGAACAGTATCTGTTTAACTCCTTTTGTACGGTGGCTCATAAAAGTTCCAAGTGCCTACAAACATTTTGTCATTGTTTGTAATGACTAGTGCTCAAAATCTATTTTACTAGTATCTCTAAACATAGTCCTTCAAGGTACCCTGCCCATTTTAATGTAACTTCATTGAACTTTTTAGTGGCAATAATAACAATTGAACATTGTCAGTTATGCTGTACTAACTAGAAATTTTTGAACTTTTTTGTTTTTGAGTTACGATTAGGGCTAATTTCAACCCAAGAGGTTTGTCTTGATCATTGTGTAAAAATGCTACTAACTCCTAATGTCAGTAACACAGCCAAGAAACAGATATTACAGGGAGCATCAGAAATTGGTTCCATCTTTCTGGACACCAATCTAGTGACATGTAATAGGGTCTGTAAAACTGTTCAGCCCTTATGACCTAGTAATTTCACTCTGGGGAATAACCCCGAAGAAAGAAAGAATAATTGGCTCAGAGATGCTCAGTGTAGCGCCATTTGCATCAGTGAAGATGTTCCTGCACTGCTGTTGGGCTTGGAAGGAGGAAGACGGTGGCTGAACAGGAGAGGCGGCAGGAAGCATTCACAGGCAATAACCGATTAAGGATTATGCTACCCCACAATCACCACTGGCCTCCAGCGTTTACAGAAATGCAAGAAATGACTTCTAGAGCCCAGAGTGGAGACTGAAAAGTAAGGGAAAAGGAAAACGGAAAACTTGTCCATCCAATCTATTTTGTGTTACGATGAAATGTGGGTATACCAAGAGGACTGACCCTTGTTTGAACCAGCAAGTCTACTGTTTTCTCTCAAGTAGCCTATTTGTCTATAGCAGTAGGGTCTTTCTTTTATTACCACTTAAAAACAAAAACCTACACATAATAATCATTCTTACTGATGTGGAAGGGAAACACTTACCGATGATTTTGGTGATGCCATTTAACCATAAGTATTCTTTTTGAAAAATATTACACACTGCCCAATACAGAGAAAAACCCCTCTAACACACAAAGCAAAATTACTCTATCTGCTCAATCTGTGGATGCTGCAAAGACCCCTGACTTTTAACTTCAGTGATCTGTTGAAAGTCAATGGACTGGAACAAATAATTCTCTCCCAGCAATGTGAGAAAACACGATATTCATGCTTGAGAAAAAAGTTCTACCTAACACTATTAAACTCCTCCTAAGAAACTATCTAAAAATACAACACAAGTGGCATTCCCCATTGGTTAGCAACTCTTCACCTGGCTGCTGGCTGCCGCAGCAGATATGAAAACGCTGGTCTCTTTGAGTTTTTAGTTTGCAAGAGGCTGTCTGAGGAAGAGCTGGTGAAAATTTCTTAAACAGCAAATGCTTCCACTTTACAATAACCATAGTGTTTGGAAATAAAATCATGTCCAATCAATGCCACTTAGCAGATATTTAATGTTTCACAATAGAAGGCTTTTCCAGAGTGGAACTGCTGCCCTTCTCACTAACATTTAAAATAATTAGGATTAGCTCAGCTGCCGGAGCTTGGCAGGTTCAGTTTGTACTTTCAAACAGCATTAATTCTTGGCACTCAGAACAAGGGATAAAAGGTGAAGATATGAATGGAGATCTTTATTCCACCTGATCTATCACGGATTAGCTCATTCTTTTCCAGTTCATGCCTGCACTCTAGTTAAGAGGAAGGCTGAGCTGTAACTGATGTAATTAGAAACCACAAGCCGAGAAAAAAATAGGCCTTTATTAATCTCCACCATTTACTATAAATTTACCAAAAAAGTAATAATCTTTGAAACAATTAAATGTGTTCTCCCCCTAAAATGAGTTAAAGCATATTGACAAGAAAAAGAAGAGCTAAGATGGGCAATGTTTTCCTTAAAACCAAGATCTTAATTGTCAGTTCTAAAATCTAACACCAATTTTGTAAGGGGCCGCTCTGCACTTCACATATTGAAGTGCAAACAGTCAAGCCACGGTAGAAGTGAGAGTTCCTGCAGATGGAACCAGGTCAGTTATGAGGGCTTCCTCCTGATACAACTACTACCAGTCTTTGCAGGCATTGGAAAATACAGTATTTTAAAGATGAGGTGAACTTTGAGCAGGAAGTACACATCTATGCAACACTAACTGTACCTCTTTCTCTCAACGTATCATGTTACATGAACATGCATGTACAATTCACCAAAAAGTGCTGTGTAATTTTATTTTATTTCATTTTATTTTTTTGCTGTACCGGGGATCGAACTCACGACCTCGCGCTTGCCAGGCAGGCACTTATGCCACTGAGCTATATCCCCAGCCCTGCT